CAAAACAATGCCACTGTTCTGACTATCAAGACCCTGCCTGCACGCTGTGTAATGAGAAATATAGTTGGGGGGGGTGAGTCTGCCAATAGGAACTGAGCTCCCAGCAGCTACCCCTGCCATAATTTGCAAACCTTTTTGATGATGTCACCGGGAATGATAATGGTGGTTCTTGATACAGGTACAATCTTAAAGGACAAGTTCATCTTTGGGAACATGTGACAGATTCCCGATCCTGCAGCACTGGGGTAGTTCATTGAGTCTTCCTGTCAGAAGTATCGGCTTGATCGTATGGGATGTACAAGCAAACAGATAAACTGACAGGCCTGCAGGAGATCTGCATGGCACCAACGATCTGCTAATCACTCCAAAGATCTGCTAATCACTGCTGCAATGCTTTACGGGCTCCTGCTACAAAATTAATAAACGCACATTTTTTTTATCTGCAAAAGATGTGCATTTATTATTTTTTGTAGAAAGGTGAACTTATCCTTGAAAAAAAAAAATGTTGAGACATGCTATGGAGGGAGGGAGAGGTTTTTGGGGTATATTTGAGTAATGGCTGGGCATGTACTCTAAACTCCAAATTGGTCTCTTGCAATTCAAGTATCTGAAGGATTCATTTGAAAAAGACAACGTAAAATCAGTTATCTTCTCGTTCATGAACCTGTTTCACAGATTGATCTCTGAATACAGAAACAGGACCTCTGCTTAGTGGAGAAATGAAAACAATCAGAAGCAGTATGAACATATGTGCAATGTGAAACAGTTCAACAGAAGCTCCATGTTTGCTATATTGTTGGGGTATGAAGTCATGAATTGTGTCTTTGATATTGAATCTAGAGAGCTTCCACATACATTTGGTATAGGTCCTACCAAGGGGTTCTTTACCTCTTGTCATATACAATATATATATGGAGGTAAAGAGGATGGGTTCCAACGTCCATACGCTGCACATGTGTGTCTATGGATGGCTGAGCTTTTATATGTCGAGAATGTGCTCCCAGCACACTGACTGAGCTGTCACAGTCGTGATCAGGAGGTGGTGGGATGGGTTCCCGATCATGTGACCATTGTGACAGCCAATCACAGTGGTCACCTGACTGGGAAATCTGTTTGTCCCTGGGTGTAAAGACTAACTTAAAAGGATACCTCAATTAGACAGGAAGAGATTAAGCAAAGATTTGCTGCCTGGTACTGTAGCCCAATACACAGTGAGGCTAGGTCCACATTTGCCCCAGTTTTCGAGTACAGAAATCGCACCTGTTCCACCACCCACAGCCAAATTGTGCTGCTCTTACGAGACACACAGGGCTGCCATTCATTCTGAATGTCACCCCCATGCGTCTCAGCCCGCAGTGCGTTTGCGGGTGTGGGAACTGCAGGGAAATCACATAGTCAAAAAGACCATGCGGTTTCCCTGCGGCTGTGTTTCCTAAAAAAGATGTATGCACCTGTTTTCTGTGGGAAACGCAGGCACAGTAGCTCATTTAAATGAATGGGCTGCCATGCTCAAGCAAACATGGGCCGCACGGCCCGCAATAGTGTGAAATGAGCTTAATTGGTCAAACTGAGTGTAAGAAAAGTATCACAATAACCAACAAGATTCCAACAGTTACAGGGCAGGTTCTATAGCAGAGCGTCTCAACCAGGGTCCATGAAACCGTAGAGGTCTTCCAGAGGTTGCTAGGAGTGCTTTCAGTTGCAGCAGACCCATTTGACATTTTATTTATTGATTACAGGTACTTATATGGCTACAAAGCCAACACAATGACTTCCATCTTTTTATGTATTTGTAGGGGGGCATTTTCTCCACTGGTGACCAATGTAAGGGGCATTTTTCTCACTGACCCCCAAAGGAATTGGGTTTTCTGAAACTGTAGGTTATTTCAAGGGTTGCTCGGGGTAAAAAGTTTGACCTATAGAATGAACTAAAAAGAAAAGATAGCTGTAATTTGATTATTTGTCATGGAAAGCAAATGCTTTCTCCACCCAGCTCTTTTCAATCTACCCCGATGTTCTTCATTATGTAAAGGCTTCTGTACAAGAGCAAAAGGCTTTAGAAGGAAAACTGTAGCCATTGAAAATCTTAATTAAAGTAAATTTCCATTTGTATAAGGAAATACATTTGGCTCTAGTAAAGTGTCATAACCCCTACCAACCAATCAGAATTCATCATGTCACCATTGATCAACTGCTATTGGATACTGCATTTGACACAGCCTCTGCACTGCTGCTGTATTATTTTTCTTTATTCTCCTTCTTGCCTGTGTATCAGATGAGAAAGCCAAATCTAAGACAGAAAAATTACTGTCAAGGGAGAAACTGCAGCCATTGCAAGAGGCAACTTAGCTGCAAAGGTCACTGAAAATATTTTACTGCCACAGTTTTCCTTTAAACCCCAAACATTAAAAAAATTGCAGTACCATAAACCTCTTTTTATGGTTATATCCGCGTAGTATACTCTCCCTCCAAAAACCCCAAAATTTGAGCAGGAGGCGTCTTTATATGATTTTGTCAGTCGGGGGGTCATAAGCAGAGCATTAACCACACACTCGCACTCACACACGGCATTCTCACAGTCTATAAGATAGCTTGGATAGCTTCATCACTGCTAGAGCTTGCAGAGATCCTCCTCCCCGCACATCTTTAAATGAGGGTTATATAGGGTTTCTGATTCTGGTTTTCAAAGCGAAATTTCTGTGCGCTCTTCAGAAAAGCGTTGAGAAGCAGCATTCACTGCGCCTGAATGCGTTGTCATTCGAAATCCAGAGAACGGGAGGGAAGGGAGCCAGGTCTGTAAAGAGTGGCAAGGTGCAGCAAAAAAATGGCTAGCAGAGAGGATTATGGGAAAGTGCGGAGAGAAAGTTAGTGCAAAGGTAAATCTGAGCAGGAAACGTGTATTAGCGGAATGTAGGAACACTGGCCTTACACTGTCCCAATATCAGCCATTAGGTGATGGATTACTATCAATATTCAGGGCGTGTAGGGCACATGGAGCAACTAACATGGATGTTGAAGCTGGTCTCAAACATCTCTGGGACCGATCATTTAATTGGTGGCAGGAAGAGGGAACAATCCCTTCACTACACACACGTCAAGTACAGCACCAAGTGAAAAGGATCATTTTATCCGACACTTGGCTATCATTTCAAAGACAAGTAGATCTCACAGTCTCCAACTCACAAGCAGCAAGTGCAGGGGTAAATTAAACCTGTTATGGTAATAACACTGACTTCCATTCCTGACCTCCTTCTGGAAATGATAGATGCTTGGCTGTTAGCTGACCTCGATTCAGTACTTTCTGAGTTACTGACCTGAATTAAGGATGCAGATCAGGAATATGGGGAACAAAAGTCTTTATCAGCATACTTGTTCCAGGTCATAGACCAGGAACATTGAAACAAGAGGATCAGCATGATGGCTAGGCATGTAGGATCTTCAGATAGAGGTGAGAATTGGCATAGACAAAAGCTTCTTTGCTGCCTCATAGCAGGTTTACATTAAAAGGTTGTATAGGGAAGATATAAACGCGTTTCACAGACAATATGAGTCTCATCTTAATAATTTCCACTAAGGGTTGTGTGATGTCTAAACCTTTGTGAAACCACTCATGTGATGGGTGCTATGAGATAAGGAGACAACCATCTATGGTAGCACCAGAGCCACTCCTTACACCTAGGCTGTTTTACGGAGCTTAATTCAGCTTATAGTCCAGGAATGGAATGGAATGATATTTGGGCTGTAAATCAGAGGTACTCCTTCCTCCCTGTCTTGGTAGTGGAGAAAATCTCCTTACAGGGGGCACGTCAAAATCTTCAGGGCAAAGTGACAGGTTCTCTTGATAGGGCAGTATCAATAGCTGCCCCCACCCCAATATTTATTTGCTCTACTGTGAGTTTAAAGCCTGTGAAGAAGCTTACACAAGGTAAATATATTTCCCTCCAACCTGGCCTCCCTAATGATTGGCCATTGAGGCCTGAGCACTGCATCCTGGAAGGAATAGGAGAAGGTCACATGCTCCACTATACCCAGAAATATCAGGTATTTCTCAGCACTTCTTCAGGTGAACAGAGCAGGGGAGGCTAACAAGAGAACCTGTCACTTTGGCCAAAACTGGAAAAAAAAAAAAAATCACATCTTAAAGATCTCAGTAGGGAACACAAGTCTATACTCATCAAAATAGTCATCTGCCTCTCTGGAGTACATGTTTGCACCCTGCACTCCACATATGAGCTCAGGTGCCTGTGAGTTCTGGTTAAACATCCATATGTACATCGCTAAGAGATGGCCCACACAGCTGACCTGAAACACAATAGCATGGGACAATAAAGACCTGAGAAAAGCACAGTTCTGGAATGACCTACATGAATTCTATAATGTTACAAGATAAACAGGCTGCTCTATGTCAGACGTGATGAGTGCGGCAGAGAATTGGAGAGTGGATAAGAGATCGAGAGTCCCCCAGACCATCCACGCTCCGCTCCCTCTTGTCATTTCAGAGTCAGCTCGATCGGAGCGTCTCCCAAATTATTGCTTTTCTCGGAAGGCATAGCACCTTCTCTCGTAATTTCTGAGAAACAAAAGTCTGCAGATGACAAGGTAACTTCACCTGGCCTCAGAGACCCCCTGAACCTCACAAAGTGCTTCTTTCTCCTCCTCAGTCCTCTAAATGTCTCTCCTTCATCACATTCCTTTACAGAAGAGTCCTTGGAAAATGTCTTTACGGTATAATCACATTTGCATTTGGCATTCCACCCGCCAGTTTTGGTCCCACTTATAAAAGGGAAAAGCGATTCTGCAGGTAATGCAAAATATAAATCCAGTCACACCCTCAGCACCGAGCCACCTTCTGTTCACAAGGCCGAAGGAGCACATTCTGTGAAGTATTACTTGTGCAAGAGGTCCGCGGGAATCACATGGCTGGGAATGTAACCAGGTCAGAACCCAGGGCGGGTCATGTGACTAGGCTGAGCGGGCACAGGTGTCAAGTTGCAGTGGCCTTAGTTGACCACCGCCGGTTTCAGTAACACAGAACCGGGAGGGATGACCACCCACCCTGGCAGTAGAGAATCTGAGCCCACACCAGGAGAAAGATCTAAAACTCCACCAGGCAGGAGGGAGAGGCCGTCCACTGAATTAAGCCTTACCTTTGACCCTTCAGTCCTCTCAACACTCTCTGAATTTTGGGCTTTAGACCTCTTCTCAATTTCAGATTTCCCTGATGTTATCAATGAAACCAAAGGTAGGCCGAGACCAGCAGCTGAGTACGCTTGAGACAGCAGTGAGCCTTTAGCCAGGTTCAGAGGGGCCCCTGCCAGTGTCAACATGGGATTTGGTAACCCTGCCAGTGCTGAGGTGACCCCGCTACAAGCCAAGGAGCTGAGGTCTAAAGGTCCTGGCGTCAGTGGGATTGGCAGTGTCTGGCTTCCAAAGATAGCCGCCGGGTTGGGAATGATGAGTTGGGTACCACTTGCATAGCTGCTGTCCCCCATAGTTGGCATTTTGGGTGGCTGGTGGATTTTCAGTAACTGGCGCTGTTGGTGTGAAATGAAGTGACCATGAGCTTTGATGTGCTTCCGCAGGGAGCTGGGGTCTGTGTAGCGTTTCTGGCATCCAGGCATCTTGCAGTAGTAGGGCTTATCCACGTAGTGTGTGCGCGTATGCTTGAAGCGGTCACTTGAGTTGGAGTAGCGCTTGTTGCAGCCCTCGTAGGGACACATGTAGGGTTTTTCTCCTGCAGATGAGAATAAATTGGATCCATGTATGAATAATGAAAATATTAGAATAAGAAAAAAACAACATTCAAACCTGCTTATAAATAATCCTTGCTTTACTAACTAAAGCTATCTTGTCAGGTTAATGCAATGGAAGAAGTATTATACTCACCTCTCTGGTGGCCTATGTGTTTTACCTTTTCTCCATTCCAGTGCTACAGCCACTGCCAGTCTCCTCCAGGAGTGCCAAATGCCTGTGTCCCCCGCGATGCACTGTAGTTCTATCCTCAGACCTCAAATTCATTACAAACAGTATAATACCCACGCAGAAGATATAGCAAAAGAACTGTAATGTAATACACATGCTCATCTCATCCATCAACCCCTGTATGGCTAGACAGCAAATTGGGAGTAACAACACTTTTTCAGAGCCTGATATTCTGCAGACTCTGTGATTCAGGAGACCTCCTCCGCTGCCACCGACTGATCCCGCCGACCTCCTCCGCTGCCACCGACTGATCCCGCCGACCTCCTCCGCTGCCAACGACTGATCCAGCCGACCTCCTCCGCTGCCACCGACTGATCCCGACCTCCTCCGCTGCCACCGACTGATCCCGCCGACCTCCTCCGCTGCCACCGACTGATCCCGCCGACCTCCTCCGCTGCCACCGACTGATCCCGCCGACCTCCTCCGCTGCCACCGACTGATCCCGCCGACCTCCTCCGCTGCCACCGACTGATCCCGCCGACCTCCTCCGCTGCCACCGACTGATCCCGCCGACCTCTTCCGCTGCCACCGACTGATCCCGCCGACCTCTTTCCGCTGCCACCGACTGATCCCGCCGACCTCCGCTGCCGACTGATCCCGCCAACCTCCTCCGCTGCCACCAACTGATCCCGCCGACCTCTGCTGCCAATGACTGATCCCATCTACCGCCTCCGCTGCCACCAACTGCCCTGCCTACTTTCTACTACCTGGCTTTGTCTTTCAGGTCTGATTATTTCAGTTCAATGAAAATGATCATTTACTAACTACCCCCATTTAGTGCAACAGTTGGGAGATAGGATTCTTTTATCAGACTGATTATTACATCCATTTTTTATGGCCAACATAAGACACAAAAAAGATAGAAGGATTCATACCTGTGTGTGAGCGGTTGTGTATCTTCAGGTTCTCCAGCAGCCGGGAGAAGCTCTTATGGCAGGTGGGGCAACAGTGAGGCCTCTCATTTGTGTGTGTCCTAATATGGATCAGCATCTTGTACCTGCAAATCCATCACAGGGCTATATCAATTCCTATGTTTCACATAATAGGATCCACATGTACATAAGCACCCAGGAACAATCAGCAGCTTCACAGTAAAGATCTATAGTAACACAAAACAAGAAAATCCATCCTGCACACATATGTCCATACCTAGAATGATAATTGCATGCTTGGAAAGTGGTGGCACTGCAAGCATACAAAAAGCCAGAACTCTAAATTCTTGAAGCCCTTTTTCTTCAGGTGGATTATGTCCACCGATGTTTCAGGGATGAACAGGTCCCCTTTTTCAGGATGCAAAAGGCATGGGCCTATGTCCATTATCATTGCCCTGTCCCTGTGAATCAACGCAAGTTTATCTGCTTTCTCTACTCACTGAAATCAGTCGGTTTTTCTCTACTTAAGTTTTTAATTTCTATTCCAGCAGGCATTCAGTGGAAATGATGGAAATGATGACCACCCTCCCTGATAGACAACCACTAAAGGTCTTCTTCTTTAGGTCTGAATATGTGTCATGGATCAATGAGCCATGGTGCATAAACATTTACAAGCATGATGGTCAAGAATGAAAGTGCACCAGTGATATGGCCTTGTACACACGGGCTGTGACTTTGGGGCTACAAGGCTAAGCAGGCATGGCACTCAGTCACCACTAACATTCTTTGCTACCACTACATGCTCCTAACACTTCGTAATCAATTATCTCTGCTCTCTAGGAGTTTAGGTTGAATAACCAGACATTCCTGCAATGCAATAGCAGGTGAAGACATAAGTTCAAAAGGTTTCTCCCATCAGCAATAAAGATTCTGTATACATGATGTATCTAGCAAACACATCCTTCAGACGCCTGAGAACCTTAAAGCTGGACTCCAGCTCCAGACATCCAGCTCAGCACAGTTATTAATTAAAATAAAAATGCTCTGCAGCAATATCACCAATCTACCAGGATAAGTGATGGCCAGTGTCATCCAATCTACTTCCCCTGAGCCCAGGCTGTCATGTATCATGGCTGGTCTGGGCTCTGAGTACTGCTGCACTGCACATGTGTGTCATTGCAGAAATGAAGGCTGCCCACAACCACCACTCAATGAGAACAAGAAGGGCCCATAATGTCACTGGAGCAGCCAGAAGAATCTTGGATCCTTGGAAAAAAAGTATGTATTTTTCTTGTGCATGGGGATTTGTAGACGAAAGCTAGATTTCAGCTTTAAAGCGTTTGTGGACCTTTTGTATTTCAATGGACCAAAATGGTGGAACAGTGAAATACACGCAAAAATACAAAGCTGTTACACACAACATATACTATAACAATTTTTTCAAACATTTCTGAAAATACAAGGGCAGGAAAATACAGAAGCCTAACACATGGTGCATAGAATGACTGATGCAGAGTTCTGGCCCAGGGGTATGAAGAAACAAGGAATACATCCCCCACCTGGGGTCATATCACAGAGATATGTCAACCCGTGACAGGTCGATTGAAAAATGATATACAAGTTGGAATGCACTCAAGTAGCATGCCCCACTTTCCTCCAATCAGAAATGGTTATGTAATTTAAAACAGTCAATTTAAATACTCAGACATTGCTGCCCATGATTGCATCATGGAAAAATCCAATTTTGTTCATTGTTTCAAGAATTATCTATGCATAGAAATCAAACTTACATAAATCCACTGACATTCTGGATTAACGGCAATTATAAATGACGGTCAGAGCCAGTCTCACGCAGCGGTTGCGTTTGGACAACTGTACAGCCCTCATTGTTCAAAAATTTCTTGTGCTGCTTATTCTATAATACACTATATAGACTTTGCTAACTTTGGGATATGTCAGGGTTTTTTAGGATGGGTGACTTCCTCTCCCATTAACAAAATCAACTGGATAAACAAATAGTTTTACTGGGCAAGTTACCTTCCTCTTAGCTGGCCAAGACCATCCAGTGTCAAGAAAGCTGTACTGCCTTGGAATGAGCTCCCAAAAGAGTAACCTTTTTAACCCATTATTATTATTATAATACAGAGTACACAGTGAAGGAAATAAGTATTTGATCCCCTGATGATTTTGAATGTTTGTCCACTCACAAAGAAATGATCAGTCTAAACATCGAATGTTCGGTGTATTGTAACACTGAGAGACAGAAGAGCAATAAAAAATTCAAAAGAAATAATGTCTAACAAATGATGCACTGATTTGCATGTTCATGAGGGAAATACGTACTTGATCCCCTATTATTGAGATTGATTTCTGGCTACCAGGTGTCTTTCAAACAGGTAACAGGCTTAGATTAGAAGCAGTCTCTTAAAAGGAGTGCTGCTAATCTCAAAATCAAGCTCTTTGGCATCAACTCAACTCGCCGTGTTTGGAGGAGGAGGAGGAATGCTGCCTATAATTCCAAGAACACCATCCCAACTGTCAAACATGGTGGTGGAAACATTCTGCTTTGGGGGTGTTTTTCTGCTAAAGGGACAGACCAACTGCACCGCATCAAAGGGACAATGGATGGGGCAATGTACTGTCAAATCTTGGGTGAGAACCTTCTTCTTCCCTCAGCCAGGGCATTGAAAATGGGTCGTGGATGGGTGTTCCAGCTTGACAATGACCCAAAACACACGGCCAAGGCAACAAAGGAGTGGCTCAAGAAGAAGCACATTAAGGTCCTGGAGTGGCCTAGCCAGTCTCCAGACGTTAATCAGATTGAAAATCTGTGGAGGGAGCTGAAAGTTCGAGTTGCCAAACGTCATCCACCAAACCTTAATGACTTGGAGAGGATCTGCCAAGAGGAGTGGGCCAAAATCCCTCCTGAGATGTGTGCAAACCTGGTGGCCAACTACAGGAAACGTCTGACCTCTGTGATTGCCAACAAGGGATTTGCCACCAAGTACTAGGTCATGTTTTGTGAAGGGAATCAAATACTTATTTCCCTCATGAACATGCAGATCAGTGCATAATTTGTTAGACATGCATTTCTTTTGAATTTTTTGTTGCTATTCTGTCTCTCAGTGTTACAATATACCGAACATTCGATTTTTAGACTGGTCATTTCTTTGTGAGTGGGCAAACATTCAAAATCAGAAGGGGATCAAATACTTATTTCCCTTCATTGTATATAGAGCCAACAGGTTTACAAAATAAAGGGAATTGCCCCTGGTGAGGTGGAAAGGTTGACCATTAACAAAACTGAATTATGCTAGAAAGCAAATTTAAAAATGAATGCGTTTAACCCTCTATGTGCCTCTATGGCCTTCAACTCATGAAAGAATGTGAATGTTAAGGCTGACATTTAATCTACTGACATTGACATTATAATGAACCAAACTCTACCATGCAGAATCAGTCTGCCGTGGACGTGGTGAAACAAACAGCTATATCTTCAATGCACAAAAGGCAGGAATCTGCAACAAAGTTTGTAATCTCTGCAATGTTAGTCTCCTTGTCTCAGGAGATTTGGAGTGAGATTTGATGGTGTCACTACTATGCTGTTTACTGTTGTCCTTGCTGGAGGCTTTCGAAGAAGCAAAGCCCTGTCTCCACCAAGATATTTGCCTCCACACAGAGACACAGTGCAGGATGACGCATGATAGTCAATAATGGGGAAAAGATCAGCTACAGGGAGACCACAGGCAATACTGAGGATTAGTCCCATGCCCTCTGCCTGCCTTTGTTAGCACAGATTCTAGAATCCTCTGGATCAACTGTGGGTGTAGGATTATAACTTTTGTTTTGTTTTTTTATGGTTGAACTGGATGGACTTTTGTCTTTTTTCATCCAGACTAACTATGTAACTAAGCAGTTTAGTTCCTCTTTAATTCATAAAACCAGTTCAGGGCCATTTATTGTTTGCAGATACCTGGGGCGGATGGGAGCACCACATTTTTTGCAGACAATGGCCTTGCAATGTATCTGTGCCACTTTTTATTGCGGCACAGGTACATTTATGATATTTTCATTGTCTGGGATTTGGAAAAAAAAACATTACTAGATCAGTTTGTTGCAAACCTTAATCGTAATGAGTAGAACCTCCAGTTTACTATGTCATGTCATCAGAATGAAGTAACCTTCATGGATATTCGATTCGCAACCTGAACCCTGCCCCCTTCCACTCTGCAACTGACCAACTTTACAACAGTATCCTTCCCCTGTCCTGCCCTGACCTGGCCACTACTGTTTATAACAACTCGCTGTCAGCCGCTCTTGACTCCTTAGCACCCCTAACCACACGAAGCATTAGACCCCGACCGCTTCAACCCTGGCAGAACAACCACATCAAAAATCTCAAGCGATGCAGTCGTGCGCTAGAGCGACTATGGCGCAAAACCAGATCCCAACAAGCGTTCACCCAATATAAATCTGCCTTCCTCACCTACACTTCCTCCCTCCACGCTGCCAAGCAAGCCTACTTTGTAACCCTCATCAATACCCTCTCCTCCAGTCCTCGCCGGCTCTTCTCTACTTTTAACTCTCTACTCTCTCCGCCCCCACCTCCACCCAGTACCTCACTCACCGCCCACGAGATTGCTAACCACTTTCAAAGCAAGATCGACGCAATTCGCAGGGACATCACCACTGCTTACACTTCCACCCCACCTAGTATCCCTCACACGAAAAGCCCCTCAACACTCCACTCCTTCGACCTTGCTACCACTGAAGCGGTCACTAAGGTCTTCTCTGAAGCTTACCACCTGCCCCCTTGACCCTGTCCCCACACAACTCCTATGATCACCCTCCTCCTCTATCCTACGCTCCCTCACTCACATCTTTAATCTCTCCCTCTCTACTGGCGCATTCCCCTCCCCTCTGAAGCACGCGCACATCACTCCCATACTTAAAAAACCCTCCCTGGATCCCACAGACCTAAACAACCTTAGACCCTTCTCCCTGCTGCCATTTATATCCAAACTCCTTGAGCGCTTAGCCTATATCGCCTAAGCTCCCACCTCACCGACAACAACCTCCTTGATCCCCTTCAATCTGGCTTCCGTCCCCTACACTCCACCGAAACTGCCCTACTTAAACTAACCAACGACCTGCTAACTGCCAAAGCCAATGGCCACTACTCAGTGCTACTACTCCTCAACCTCTCTGCGGCTTTCGACACAGTCGACCACCCCCTCCTCCTCAAAAAACTATACTCTTTTGGCCTCAGAGACTCCGCTCTCTCCTGGTTCTTTTCCTATCCATGATAACGCTCCTTCAGTGTTACCTATAACGCTGCCACCTCCCCCTCACTCCCCCTCTCTGTTGGGGTCCCCCAAGGTTCTGTCCTCGGGCCCCTTCTCTTCTCCATCTACACCTCCTCCCTTGGTCAACTGATACACTCCCACGGCTTCAACTACCATCTCTATGCCGATGACAGTTAAATCTGTCTGTCTACCCCTTGCCTCACCCCTTCAGTCTCCGCCCGAATCATTAGCCTTCTGAATGACATATCAGACTGAATGTCACTCCACTTCCTCAAATTAAACCTTGCAAAAACCGAGCTCCTAGTTTTCCCCCCAGCCCGCGCCCCTCCCCCTGACCTCTCCATCACGACCAACAACTCCACCATCAGCCCCACCTCGCAAGCCAGAGTACTAGGTGTCATTCTAGACTCCAATCTGTCTTTCCAGCCCCAGGTCCAATCGATGACAAATTGATGCAGACTCCACCTCCGCCACATCTCCAAAATACGCTTGTTCCTAACTCCAGAAACTACAAAGCAACTCATTCATACCTTTATTATATTACGACTTGACTACTGTAACTCCCTCCTCACCGGCCTACCTCAACACAGGCTATCCCCGCTTCAGTCTATCCTGAATTCTGCGGCCAGACTCATCCACCTCACTAACCGCTCCGTATCCACCACCCCCCTGGTCATTCCCTCCACTGGCTTCCGATTGCCCAACGCATAAAATTCAAATTATTAACATTGACGTACAAGCTGTTCATAACGCTGCCCCAAACTACATCACCGACCTGATATCCATCTACCACCCAAAACGCACTCTCCGCTCCTCACAAGACCTACTATTCGCTAGTTCCCTGGTCTCCTCCTCCCATGGCCGTCTCCAGGACTTCTCTACCCCAATCCATCAGACTGTCACCTACCCTCCTCACCCTGCACCCTGAAAACCCATCTCTTCAGAGAAGCCTACCCCGCCCTCACCTAATTGCCGATCTCCTCTGCTCTTCCCACCACTCCATCCCCCACAGCTATTTCCTCCTGTACCACTATCCCCTCCCTCCTAGATTGTAAGCTCCAAAGAGCAGGGCCCTCGATCCCCTTGTGTATTGTATTGTATTGTTACTGTGCTGTCTCGTGTACTGTCTCCATTATAATGTACAGCGCTGAGCAAACTGTTGGCGCTATATAAATACTGTATAATAATATTTTGATGAGGAAAAATGATGAAGGGAATATCACTAGTGAACTCTATCGTAAATCCGCCGCAGGTAATACCGTCCTGCACTTCAGTAGTGAACATCCCTTACCATTAATACAATCAATTCCATACAGTCAGTACCTACGACTGAAACGTACCTGTGGTAATAGTGATGCTTTTGAGAATAAAGCCAAAAAATGTAAACATAGACTTATGGCTAGAGGTTACACCAAGAAATCCCTCAGGAAGGCATATAATTGCAATAAACATCTAGCCAAAATTTGACTGGAGTTCCACTTTAATTACTCACTCATGCAATTTTTAAGGATCTAGGCAGCCATGTAGGCACAATTATATTTGTAATTACCAAAATGGCCATTCTCGTCTCTGTGCCTGCAGATTTAGGATATTTTGGGGCATGTCAGATACAAAAATATGGAAACTATTATCCAAAATGCATTGGTCCTTAGAGGATTTTAATGGAAGAGTATCTCAGAATATGGAATGAAAAGTATATATATCACCCACTTTAAAGCAAGACCTCCCTCTAGCACATGGCAGCTGTGCATTGCTATCATCTCATCAACCATGTTGACATTTATTTCTCGCTCATAGGGTATTTCAATATAATCATTCCCTCTCACCTGGCATTGAATCCTCTCCCGCGACGGGCACAGCCCTCCCAGTGGCAGCAGTATCCGGAATCCTTTTCTGGCTTCACATGGAAATCATTAACATGATCCACTAATTCTTGCAGAAGCTCAAACAGGCGGTTGCACTGCAAGGTCAGAGGTCAAAGGTGAGCAGAGCCAAGGAATGCAGCAAGAAGACAAGAAGGGGAGGTTGTAGACAATTGGATAAAACAGAAGCAGAGAAAGGAATGTGAGACAGAGAAGAGGCAGGTGGACATCTAAGGATGAGGCCTACAGGGGGTGACCCTTACCTTTGCCCACTGACACACCAGTTGTTTCTGTTCCGTGTATTCAAGGGACAGCCGCTTCTCCTTGGGGGGAGTTAGGAACACCGATGGGGGTAGCTGGAGTCCAGAGCTAAGGGGCAGAAAGAACTGGAAGGGACTGGGAGTTGTGTCTCCCCTGCAGCGCAATAACGGCATGTCCTGCAGGATAGAAGAGAGGTCGGGGTAGGATGACATGGTTAGGGTCATATGTCATTTGCAGCAGAGATAAAAATAATATAGAACATCATTTCCACATGTTCCAAACTGTTTAGAAATACATTGATACTTGTTAAAAAGAAAAAAAAGAAACACATTGAGGCACAGAATTTTTTTTTTCTTTAATGCTCAGCAAGTCAAGAATCAGCCATGCCCAGGTGCGGACTGACCATTTGGCCACTCAGGCACTGCCCGAGGGCCCTGGGGTCAGTAGGGGGCCCCATGAGATGCCGCTGGTACCTTTAATTGGCTTTTTCATAGGCTTTTTTTGGCTGTGGGTGAGGACACAGGGGTCCCATGATCCCCTATTGCCGGGGGCCCCATGAGTTGTCAGTCCACCCCTGGCCATGCCTGTAGACCAAAGAGACTGTGACAGCCATGTGATGGAGCAAGGGGCAGCACCAGATCCTTTCACATAAACGTTCTGATCGGGCCCCTGTCTGATCGAGTCCCTGTCCCTGAACCTCCATTCTCTTCTATGGAGCGGTGGGTGTAAACGGACATGTGTGCATTTACACCTGCCTACATCCAATTCGATCCAATCCGTTAAAAACAGATAATCCATTGGGCTCCTTTCACATGAGGCAGACTCTGCTTGTGATCCGCTTGCGGCAGCCCATATGCATCCCGCAGAGCTATTGTGTTCTTCTGGCGTGGGGTGGGGGACAAGGAGCCTTCCCGGTGGGCAGAGCACAATGATTACTGCTACCATCTATAGCCACTGGCATGTGGAAAAATCCGACAGACTGGTTGTGCCCAAGCTGATCAATGGATCACCTATGCCCAGACATGGATTGAATCTCAGGCAGTTTTGATCCATGTATGGCCGGCTTATGTCCAATCAAAACTCTCTTTTTTTCGTTTTCGCTAAAATGAGTAATAAAACCCTTGAACAGGGGCGGGAATGACCATTTGGACACTCAAGCGTTGCCCAAGGGCCCAGGGTCAGTAGGAGGCCCCATGAGATGCCCCTGGTATCTTTTTCATAGGCTTTCTTGAGTTTGGGCAAGGACACAGGGGCCCCATGATCCCCTATTGCCCGGGGGCCCCATGAGTTGTCAGTCCGCCCCAGAAAGGTTTCTGTTACAAAGATTTCATCTCACTTGGCTGGCCATGTGAGACGACTGGAATGCGATTGGTGGGTAGTCCTGTCAGCACCCTCCTGCCTGACATCCTTGATCTGAAAATTGAAGGAGCTGGATAGAAAAATGTCGGCTGAACAGTGCCAGCAATCAGATGCAGCTACGGGTGACAGCTGTCATAATGCAATAGCCAGCGCTGCAGTTTCGTCCACCACACTGAGGTGAGAGAAATGAGAGAAATCTTATAGTGTATGGCCAGCTTTCAGCCGGGTATACACACTTAATTTATTTTCATTCAACTGCCAGGCCAAGCAAAAAAAAACAAATGGATTCCCCCCTTCACACCAGCGAGGTGCATGGAGGAATCCCCCCTACTGCAATATTGTGTTCTGACATACTGTATATTAATATGTTTATTATTGTATTCTAATAGTGGGACTGTCTGCTGTCAGAATATACTGATCAGTGGCTGCAGCTGCTGATGAATTATATTTATTTCTTTCAGGTATAGCGCCGTCAATTTACGCAGCACTTTACATATATATTGTACATTCACATCAGTCCCTAACCCTCAAGGGGTGTACAATCTAAGGCCCTAACTTACATTCATGCATACACATATTAGGGACAATTTAGACAGGAGCCAATTAACCTACCAGCATGTCTCTGGAGTGTGGAGGAAACTGGAGTACCCGGAGGAAACCCACGCAGGCACAGGGAGAACATCCAAACATCACACAGGTGGTGTCGTGGGTTGGGATTCGAACCATGACCCTAGTACTGCCAGGTGGAAGTGCTAACCATTTAGCTGCTGTGTATGAAACTTTTCCAGCATTGCCATTCAACAGAAATCAATCTATCAACTTCTGAAGAACAGGGAAGGTTATACACAGATCACAATTTAGCACATCCTGCTGAACTGGCCGAATTTGGATCCATCTGTTCCCAGCCTGACTCTTATGGTGACAACAAAATTTGCAACAGGAATTAAGTATGAAAATTCACAGGAGTTTTAGTCCTCCCATTCTCTAGCATTTGTATTACTGTTGGTGATGCTGTTGGAGATTTTCTCTCATTTCCTGTCTGGGGAAACAGAAATCTCTCTAATGCCCAGAAAGCAATTGAAACCCAACAGGGGTTCTAGTCCTTCCCCACTCTATACAAAACTAAAGCAAAAATGTTTTGGCTGGATATACACTATATTGCCATTGTATTGGGACACCCCTCCAAAACATTGGATTCAGGTGTTCCAATCACCTTCATGGCTACATTGTATAAAATCATCACCTAGGCATGCAGACTGCTTCTACAAACATTTGTGATAGAATGGGTCGCTCTCAGGAGGTCAGTGACTCCAAGCGTGGTCCCGTGATAGGTTGCCACCTGTGCAGTAAGTCCATCCGTGACATTTCCTTGTTACTAAATATTCCACGCTCAACTGTTAGTGGGATTATACCAAAGTGGAAGCAACTGGGAACAACAGCAACTCAGCCACAAAGTCATAGGGTACGTATACTGAAGCACACAGTGCGCAGAAGTCACCAACTGTCTGCATAGTCAATAGCTAAAAAGATCCAAACTTGGTGTGGTCTTCAGATTAGCACAACAACAGTGTGTAGAGAGCTTCATGGAATGGGTTTCCATGGCCGAGCAGCTGCATCCAAGCCTTACATCACCAAGTGCAATGCAAAGCGTTGGATGCAGTGATGATGTAAAGCACGCCGCCACTGGACTCTAGAGCAGTGAAGATGTGTTCTCTGGAGTGACCGATCACGCTTCTCTGTCTGGCAATCTGATGGACATGTCTGGGTTTGGTGGTTGCCAGGAAAACGGTACTTGCCTGACTGCATTGTGCCAAGTGTAAAGTTTGGTGGAGGGGGGGTTATGGTGTGGGGTTGTTTCTCAGGGGTTGGGCTTGGCCCCCTAATTCCAGTGAAGGGAACTATTAAAGTGTCAGCACACCAAGACAATTTTGACAATTTCATGCTCCCAACTTTGTGGGAACAGTTTGAGGATGGCCCCTTCCTGTTCCAAAAAGACTGCGCACCAGTGCACAAAGCAAGGTCCATAAAGACATGGATGAGTAAGTTTGGGGTGGAAAAACTTGACTGGCCTGCACAGAGTCCTGACCTCAACCCGATAGAACACTTTTGGGATGAATTAGAGCGGAGACTGTGAGCCAGGCCTTCTCATCCGACATTCAGTGCCTGACCTCACAAATGTGCTTCTGGAAGAATGATCAAACCTTCCCATAGACACCCTCCTAAACCTTGTGGACGGCCTTCCCAGAAGAGTTGAAGCTATTATAGCTGCAAAGGGCGGGAACAACTCAATATTGAACCCTACGGACTAAGACTGGGAGGCCATTAAAGTTCATGTGCGTGTAAAGGCAGGCCGACCAATACTTTTAGCAATATAGTGTACACTTTAAAGGCTTTTAAATATAGTTTGGGGAATCACTGTTCCCCTTTTTCTAAATGAGGAATATTTTTTTATGGCCTGCATGCCAAAAAAGGAAATCACCTGAGGGGTGAGAAAAAGTGAAGTGAAGGTGAGATTTCAGCAAGGACAAGCACTCATCAGAGATATCTGCCCGTCTAGGGTCACTTTAAAGCGGAACTTCACCCAAAAGGGGACGTTCTGCTTGTTTACCCCCTCTACTGCCACAATTTGAGGGAGAAGGTATCTGGTTTTGACAGGTGCCCGCTCCCACTTCCTGTCAGATGCTCTGCGACCCCCTTCCCCTGCAGCCTTCTGGGACATCTCACAGGTCCTATAAGACTGCGGGACCATTCACAAAGTGCAGCATGCTTCGCACATGCGCAATACGAGAATGGTTGTGAAGCCTCAAAGCTTCACTGCTGGTTTCCCTCACTGAAGATGCCGGCACCTGCACCTGAAGTCAATTGAAGAGTCAGCTCGGGTGCAGACATTGTTGGATAACTGCCTCGAGCTCCGCTTTAAAGTATCTGCCAAGAGAGAAGTATGTAGGCTTCCATTGGTGGTCTTCTGAAAATGTTCCTGGCTTTATACTTGTAATGCTGGCCTAACACCTGGAGAATTGACTAATTTCAAACTTGACTTTTCATTCAAGTACCATGTCAATGTCTTGATTTTCATAGATTGAACATGCTACTTCTGGGTAAACTTTGACAAGTGCATGTGCATAAGACTTTTTCTCGTCCGGGAGCGAATTCAACTATCCGAAATTCGTTCACTCCCATTTTATTCAACAAAAAGTTTCCATCCTCTTCTTTCAATTTTTTTGCTCATTCTGGTCGAAGATAATCAAACAAACATTTTAAAAATGAAAAATTTCTATCCAATTCTACAGATGTACAGCCAGCTAAGTCAACGGTTCAGTGCAAGCCCCATCTCAATTCCCTCCTTTCCCACACAGATCTGTAGATACCTCCTGTGACAGCTGCGATTTTTGCACCATTCGCAGTCCAGCCAGTAAACATCTAGTGCCGGGCTGCCCACACCTGCCCACTGACATATCATAGACCTGTATAGCAGGAGCAACATCCCATGCAAGCCTCATTAGTGCAGCAGTCTGGCACTGGATTTTTCCCGCCTGGGACAGTGCGGGAGACCAAAGCTCTTGGAGGACATAATACAGATCTGCAAGGGGGTGGGGGGGGGGGTTAAGACCTGAAGTGTTGAGGGGGGTAGGGAGGGGGTCTGGGAGATTTTTTGAAAATGTGAAATTGTACTTAAAGACACCATGTAGATCTGCATGTTTTATGTGTGGTGCAATGTGTGCCCATTGTGCGCTTTAAATGCCTTTTAGTTCATCTTTATGTGATGCCTGTTTTGCTTAAAATCACACAACAAAGATGCAGCAAGCAGCAGTTTTTT